GGTAATATAAAGCCATTTTAAAATATCAAGCAAGCCAAGAAAGAATACTACATGGGTCACCGGAAAAGAGAGATCCAACCATAGAAGACACTGAAAGGAACCTCACAATATTAGTAAGTCTAAAAGGCAAGTAGTCCAGAATGAAGATCAGAGAAATATGAGACTTCCTCAGAAAGATAAAAGTGGTAACAATACCTGATATGTCTGAACATCTCCAGGGACATTTGATGAAATGCTGAGTCAGTGATTACTACAGAGAAAACTAAAGCAGCAGGGAGGCGTGGAGACAATGAATTCCAGCCAGATCAGCCTATGGAAAAGCTAAGTTAACAAGTCACATTGAGAACCTGCTTATCAGCTCTTTAGTCTCCTACATTTAAGTACACCCAGAAGATCAAGAATTGCCAGACATCTGAGGAGAGGCTCTATCACAAAAGGTTAAGCCCAAAACCCACAAAAATGGGAAGAAAGGCAACTTGGAGGAAACAGATGATAATGGATGAAAACTTGGGGTAAGGGAACCCACGACTAACATTTGTATATGTTAAACAATATACAGAAATATATATACAGGTATACCATACATACTAGATAGCTGGGATAGGAGGAGGAAGGCAAGTGCAGGACATTAGACACGCTAGGAAAAGTTATATTTTACAAGAAAACTGACTAATCAACAGTGATGCAATCATAACTATTAAGATGAAGGGGGGACCAGGAGGAAGAAGGACCAGCTGAGTAGATCATGACAAAGTTAATCTTCATTTTCTACCCAGGAAGTTACTAAAGCCAAAAACAAAAGCAAGGAGTATTTTTATCTAACACATACAAAGCAAACCTAAAGGAAATCAACTTTGAATATTCATTGGAAGGACTAATGCTGAAGCTCCAAGATTTTGGCCACCTGATGCAAAGAGCCGACTCATTGGAAAAGACCCTGATGCTGGGAAAAATCGAAGATAAAAGGAAAAGAGCGCAACAGATGATGAGATGGTTAGACAGCATCACTGACTCAATGGACCTTAATTTGAGCAAACTCTGGGAGACAGTGAAGGACAGGGAAGTCTAACATGCTACAGTCCATGCGGTCACAGAGTTGGACACGACTTAGCAACTGAACAGTAATGTAGAGCATATGAGTTAGAGACATTTCAAAGGACTTTCCAAATTCATTTCACTCTTACAAAATCTATGCAGTAGATACTATTCTCCCCAATTTTTTTTTCTCCCCACTTTTTAAAGTGAGCAAACTGAGGCACAGAGAGGTTAAGTAGCTGGTGAACAAGAGAGGCTGGCTCAGACCTAAGCAGTCCACGCTCCTAACCACCTGGCTGTGTTGTAGGTCAAGTAGTAATACAGGCAGTTATTTAGAGACTAGGAGGTAAATATCACAATCATCATCTACAAGAAATGAAAGTGACTGCTTCCAGGGAAATAAAGAGGGCAGTAAGCTTTTGTTTGTTTTGATAAGCACGTAAACTATTTGGCTCTTTAAACTGGGCAGGTACAACATAAATAAAAATTAGATCTTATAATTTAGTATTTCACAGTTAAAGTATTTTATCTGATGCAACCACCCTACGAAGCTGGCAAAAATGAGCATTACTCCTATTTGATAAGAAAACTCGAATTCCTCATTAATAAATATTGAGGAACTACTCTATATACAGGTACTGTATTTAGAAGATAAATATCAATTTACCTCAAGGTATGAAAAGGTAAAAGAGGTACACAAAGTATTTTCATTCATTTCTTTTCATTTTGTTGCATTAAATTATATGATCCTGCATCTCCAACAGTTATGCTTAAGGTGAGAGACAATACAAATTTTAAATCATACAAAAGGCAGAGAAAGGTCTGCTCATTAATTCTTTCAAAAAACACTCAGCTCTTGCCCTTGAAGGATTCAGTCTTACGGGGAAAATGGGTAAACGTAATTTTAACTGAATGTGCACAGTGCCTCAAATAGAGGAACACTAAAAAGGGCTAAGGAAAACATTTATTGAAGAGAATGCTACAGAGGGAACATCTGAGCTGAGTCTTGAAGGATGAATGCAAGTTTGACCAATTTCACAGAAGAGGCTGTATTAACAATCACAACACTGAAAACATCAGTGTGAAATACCTGCATCTTCCCTGTGCTATAACAGTAAGTTCACATTAAAGGCTAACCTAAGACATTATGTGTTTTGTTTGCTAGCCACCCAGTCGTGTCCAACTCTTTGCAACCCCGTGGATTGTAGCCCACCAGGCTCCTCTGTCCATGGAATTCTCTAGGCAAGAATACAGGAGTGGGTAGCCATTCACTTCTCCAGGGGATGTTCTCAACCCAGGATCAAACCCAGGACTCTTGCACTGCAGGCAGATTCTTTACCATCTGAGCCACCAGGGAAGCCCAACATAAGACATTAAGACCTTTTTAATGAGAATGATTTTTTTTTAAAAGATCATACATAATCTTAAGGCCTGATCCATGTTTCTAACCTTTATAGTCTCTGCCAGTAGCCAACACCAGTAGACACATGTGTTACCAACATTTTAAAATTTACAGTGTTGCACTATTATTTCAAAAGATGACTAAAGAACAGCCAATCTTCATTTATCCTACCACCTAAAAGTTTTATTGCTAATGTGTTTTCTAAGTCATAACACTGACATTACAATGTACTCCTTTTCTCCCATGAGATCCATAGGTGAAGCCCAGAAGACACAGACAAAGAAACTAACATGGGAAGAAAAAAGTAAAAGCAATTTTTTAAATCATTATCACTTGAAATCTTTTTTCCAAACTACAGTGATAATCTGCAGTAAAATGTCAAGAAAATAATATACAAATTTACCAGATCTGACCTTTACAGCTATTTTAGGGGTCATTTTGATATTACAGAATTTAAAGGATGTTAACAAAAGCTCAAATATGTGGTTAATTCAAACAGGTACAGTCAACTCAAGTTACTGTACACCAATATTTAATCATATTTCTCAGTATCCGTTTTACCCCTTTAATTTCAAACCTTTCTACATATTTTGCCCCTAATTAGTCCTCATCTCAGTTGCTATATGGAAAAATTGATTTTGTTCTAATATCTTAAACTGGGACTCTAGCTCTACAGTTAAAAACCGAGCTGTAAGTAGCAACATCTGACTTTAATCGTCTGGAACACCATGTTATGGAAGGCTCTATCATGCCCTACCACCAGGAGGAGAAAACAAAAAGGAAAAATTCATGCCAGGAGACCACAACGGTAATTAGTAAAAATCATGGCAGGTTTGAATTCAAAGTATGTGGTTTTCATTTATGTATCCACCCATCTTTTACTTCTCTAAATTTAGCATCCACATAATATACCTGTTCTTATAGGGGGTTTTACTCAGATCACACTCATTAGATTTAGAAAACATGAATATCTGAGCTAAGTTAATTATTTAAAATTATAGATGTGTATTAGCATGATTTGATAAAGTTAAAGGTTTAGCAATAATTATAACACAACTATTAACGAAACCACCTCCTAGGAGAGGTCTCTCTTTTAAAAAGTAGAGACTTGTATACATGATACGGAATACAGGTGGCTAGATAACAAGGTTCTATATATGACTTAGAAAAATAAGAATCGTCAAAGGCAAGAATTCAAGTTATTTCAATTAACCATGCCTTTACCTTATATCTTTTAAGTAATTTTAAAAAAAAGAAAAAAAGAAAAGAAAGCCTCACTGAGACATTTGGCCTTTGTATTTCTACAATGGCAATTCTTTTCAAGTTTTCCAAAGTGAAAACCACAGATGTACATTTAGAATGTAAACGTTCCAACTGGCTTAATAAAAGTTCAATCACAAAAATCTCCAATACTAAAATATTTAAGTATCTTTCACATTTATTCAAAGTTTCACAGTGAAAATGAATAGCCTCTGTCAAAATTCCTTGATCAAAACTATTACTTTGATCAAGGTTAGTAAGACTGGCAAATCTGTGAAAAGAACATTCCTTTAAAATTCGACTTAACTTAAAGCTGTGTAGTATCATGAGAGATTTCACAACTCTTCCAGCTAGCCAGCTTCAAAGACACAATTTGATTCAATAAATGTGATCACCATATTATTACAAATCCTATTAAGAAAACAATGGTCTAGTAATGTATTTTAGGCTTTCTGTATTTCTCTGGTCAGAGAAGAGAACAAGTGGAGTAGATTAGCAGGAGAACAAAGTCAGTTTCATGGCTCTATAAATTCAACCCTCCAAGACATTCTCTTTCTTTTCTCTTTAAAACAGCTACCATCTTGATCTACTATGCAAAAGGAAAAACAGTAGCATCCTACTGTCAAAGATAAATTGGGCTGTTTTTAAGAGTGTATGCCCCTCCTCCCCTACAAAACACTTTTTACCATTCCCATTTCTTTACTGTTCAGATAAAACGACCATTAAGTACACAAAAGTCGGGTCAATTAGTTTGAGAGCAACCTGTATAACCCAGCTTAGGTCACCTTTCCTATAATATCTGACTAGGAAAAGCAGTAACATGATCTTTTTCAAACTAATAGCAAACACAGTAGAACTTTGGGTCATCCAGTCCAGTGAAGGAGAAACAAATGTGGGAACCACAACCTCCCCTCCTGCCCCCAAGAGATGATTGTAACGATTTTATAAGTCAAAAGAGATGAACTATTAAGCTGGGTTAGTAAATATCAAGCTTCTGTTCATAATTAATCCTAAAAAACCATCTCGTAAATAACAAAACCGCTTGGGGCTCCCATACCTACTCTTAATGTTCAAAAACTATTCTGCCAAGTATTGTTTACATTTTACTTAGACCACTTCCTAAGCATTTTGAAACCATCCCATCACACTCCTGCTCTAGAAAAACTTACCAGAAAAATGCTCGTTCACCTCTAAAGAGGAAAAAAGTAGATAATGTTTTTAGACTAACCCTGTGCGCATGCAGTGACTAAACAGAGGAACTCTGAATCTGTTGAATGCCTGCAGAGACATGGCATGAGCTTACCTCTCATCCTCGCCATCCACCAAGGGTGTCGTCAGCGGTAGCACCTTCAACGGGAAAAGAGAAGCAGAGGCTGCAAGGCTGCTGCTACTGCCATCTGAAACTGCTGACACTCCCCCACTGTCACCACTGATGGTCTGAGGTAAGCCAACTAAGGAGGGTTCCGCTGGGCGCCTGGCATCTTCGATTTGGCTTCCAATTGCCTGAGCTAATGATTGTGCGGAGAATTGAACAGAACTGAGTGGTAGCTGTTGTGCCAAAGGCAAATTTATATTGGATGCTACCAAGGGAGGCTGACTGACACTTTGAACCAAATTACCATTCTGAGTGGCGGGGGCTTGTGCTATATTCTGTGACGGAACCAAGTTTGTCGGGGCAGAAGGCAGTCCAGAAGGACCAGCTGAACTAACCTGATTCGTAACAGAAATACTACTAGCAGAGGGCAAAGGACTAACTGCAGGCAACTGCTTCGAAACCACTCCTGGAGCTACCGACTCGACCCCCTGTGGCTGGGGAGGCACAGGTAACAGGGTACTCTGGGGTGCAATGACCAGTTGTTGAGGAAGGCTTGAAGCGCTGGGCTGAACTCCCTGATGAATGATCGCAGCTGGAGCAGGTGGCACTATCTGTGAAGACGGAGGAGCACCTTGCTGGATAACTGAAGGTGTGACTTGGGTGGAAGGCTGCTGCAGTGCCGATGGTAGGCTTGTCTGTTGACCAATATTTGCGATTTGACTGCCGGGAGGTACAGCAGCTACTGCCGTATGAGCCTTGCCAACAGGTTGGCCAGTTGCCCCTGCAGGTTGTGCTTGGACTGCCGCGGGCTGCACTGGGAGCTGGATGCTCTGTGGCTGAGCCATAGGAATCACCGTGGCTCCCAGGGCCACCCCTGCAGAAGTGGGCTGTCCAGAGGACACCGCTGTTTGGAGAAGCGGTGAGGGCTGAACATACTCGGAGGCGGGGTTCGGAGTCACTGATGTACCGTGGCTTGGGGCCATCGGAGGGGCCACAGCTGGCGCCGGCTGGCCATATTGTACCTGTTGGGGTGGCGCGCCTGGCAGGGGAGCTTGCACTGGGGGGGCCGCCTGGGAATACGGCAGTTGGGGTTGAGCCAGGCTGGCGATGGAAGGTTGCTGACCTAAAGCCGAAGTGACGCCCACCACGCCAACAGGTGACGGCTGGATACCGGCTTGCAGAGGTACTGGTTGAAGACCTGGCTTAGGCTGATAGCCCAGTTCTTGAGACGGTAACTGTACCTGCGAGATCTGCGACTGAGAAATACTCTGAGGGATGCTAACTGCTGAAATGCCCTGTGGAGCGGCGCCACTGAAGTCCATCTGTGGAAGGGCCACCCCTGGAAGGGTCGGGGGCGGCTGCGGCTGCACCGGCGGGGCCGCCAGGGTGCCCATCTCTCCGCTGCCCACACTCTCCGTATAGTGACTCAGTGTGCTGACGCTGCTGCTCACGGAGCTCCCACTCGTGCTCTCCCTCTCGGAAGTCGCTTCGGTCGGGTTTTGTCTTACACTTTCCACCACCTTATTTACCACCACCCCTTCGGTGGCGGGTATGGCGGCGTTTTCTTTTTCATAGAACTCAGTGCAAGTCCATCGACCTTTTTTGAAAGGCTCAGAAGTAGAATCTAACTTCACGACTCTGAACCTGGACGTGTTAACGGCTGGCTGTTGCTGCTGACTCGAAACGGACCCCACAGTCATGCCCGCAGCTACACTGGCAGCGCTGTTAAGGGCCGCGGAGGAAGCAATCGTACCATTGCCCATGCCACTCAAGATATTCACATTAACCCCGCTGCTCACTGCAGGCCCGACACTCACACTAGCAGCACTGGGGATACTGCTCACACTTATATTAGCGTTACCAAGCATGCTGCTGGTCACAGCAGGATGAAAACTACCCACAGCGGTGATGTTAACGTTATTCATTGTATTCGTGCCTGTAACAGAATTTATACCTAGGCTGCCGGTAGTACTCGGAGCACGGATACTAGTCATGACAGATGCCGGCGAGCCACTCGATGATACAGCAGAAGTTGGTGCAACTGGCATAACACCGTCAGAGCTTCCCGCGGCCGAGAGTTTTCTGGACCCTGGGCTTGAGGGCGGCACTCCAGGGATGGATGTACTGGCCACACCGGCATGGGATGGGTGGTGGGGCCCGTGGTGCAGGTGGTGGCCATGAATGGGATGGTGGTGATGGAGGGGGTGTGGATGAGCATTCCCATTGATCACAACGTTCTGTTGTGGAAGGTGAGGCAAATGAGGCTGAGGAAGGTGGGGCTGGTTGGGAGAGACCGCCCCAGGTGTCTCGGCTTCCTGGAAGTTATTGAGAGTCTCTTCCGAGGAGCTGCGTTCAGGCTCCCCTAAGTCCGTGGCCCTGGAAAGCGACACATCAAGGATCTCGGAAGACGACAGATCTTCCGTGTGAGACTCATCCAGGTCGTCGTAGCTCTCCGTGTCCTCTGCGATGCTGTTGTTCGAGCTGATGCTAGCGGAGATCTGAGCCGGGGTCACACTCGTTATCTGGAAGCCACTTTTCTTTTTCATCTGCGTTCCGCCTGGCGCAAGAGGCTGTGCCTGCAGCTGAGACTGCGAAAGGAGGTTCAGGCTTTGTGGAGGCGGAGGCTGTGGTCCCGACAGAGAAGATGCTGCAGGAGGCGGCGGTTGGAGCAGCGACGGAGGCGGAAAATCCTCGGCAGATGGGGCACTACTACCGACGCCGGTACCTGCTGCACCGTGAGCGGAGGCGCTGCCCCCGCCGCTGCCCCTTCGAGGGAACATTGCCGGGTGCGCCATCTTCCTAGCACTCATGTCTGCAGCGGCCGCAGCCGCCGTGGACTCGGGCGGCTGGTGCATTGTGTTGGGTACCGGGGCGGGGGGCGGAGAAGGCGAGTGCAATTTCCTTCTGCACCGTAATCTTTGTATTCAAGACGCCGAGGAGGAAAACGGGAGCTGACGCTCCGCCCGGCGCGATTCCCCCACCTCCTCCTCCTCAGCCGCAGGCGCCGGCCGTTCCTGCCTTCGAGGGCGAGCTTCGGGAAGGAAGGATGGACGAGGGTGAACGGGGCGGCCGAGGACCCGAAGGGGAGGACCCCTTCAGTCCTTCGCCATCCACTTTCCCCTCTGGCCTCACACCCCCTTTATACTCCGCTTCACGTGGGGTGCGGGGAGGGAGGGAGGGGGTGGGCAGGGGAGGGGGGTGGGAAAAGCCAAGAAATGCCCACCTTCTCCGGACAACTCCGGAGCCACCTCCACCCCTCCTCCCGCCGGCGGCGGCAGCGGCCGCTGCAAAAAGCCTCCCGGTCGCCCTGCACGAAGGCGGCGCCGAGCGAGTATCGCCTTCCCCTCGCCGCCCCCCAGCGCCGCCGCGACTGCCGGCGGCGAGCCCCGAGCTCAGTCAGTGTCGCTCAAACCTCCGCTCCCGGCCCCGCCGGCCCGGTTCGGGCCTCCTCCCCCCACGGACCCGAGGACCCCTTCAAACCCCCTGGGCTCGCGGCGGCTGCTGCTGCTCCGTGAGGAAACACTGGCCGCGGCTGGGGCCGGCGCGGCGAGGCTCGGGCGGCGGGGCGCCCGGTACGGTGAGCCCAGCAACGGGGCGCGGGCGGGCGCGCAGAGACGCCGGGTCCTCGCGGAGCACGGCCGGGGCGCGGCGGCGGCGGTGGCAGCGGGAGCCCAGGGACCGCTCCATCACTGGCAGCCATGGAGCCCGAGCATTTTCCTCCCTCCGGGCAGGCGCCTCAGCTCGGCACACGTCCTCGGGGAGGAAGGGGCCGGCGCCCGAGCCTCCCCGGAGGGCGGCGGGACGTGCGCTGAGGAGCGCCGGCGGTGGTGCGAGCCGCTTCGTCCTCGTCCTCCGCAGCCGGTTGGTCCTCTCACCCCCGCTGCTCCCGCGGCCCGGGCGGGAGGGGGCCGCAGGCGGCGGCGACTCCTCTCTCGGCGGCGTTGGTGGCCAGACGGGGCTGGTGCAGCGACTGCAGCCGACGCCGTTCAAAGGAACGAGAGGTGGGGTTTGGTCGGTGTCGGCGAACTGGGCGGGTGAGTGGGTGGGTGCCGAGGGAGGGCGGCGGGCGGGGAGGGGGCTGTGGTGGTTGTTACTAGTGCTCTTCTCCGGCTCCGCCGTATCCCCCGGTCTCTCGCGGCATCGGGAGAGGAGGGACCAGCGCCCGAGCGCAGGAGGAGGAGGAGGGGCGACCGCGGGCGAGAGGAGGCGGAGGCGACGGAGGCGGCGGCGGCGGCAGCGGCGGCGGCGGCGGGGGGGAGGGGGCCGGCTGAGGAGAAGGAGGGAAGATGGCGTCTGCGCATGCGCCCCGGCGCCGCAGACATAAAGCCAGGTCTGGCGGTAGAAGGAGGCGGCGGCGGCGGGTCTTCGGGCCTCGCCGAGCGCCCCGGCGGAAACTGCCGAAGGCTGACTGAGGCGCCGGCGGTGGAGGGGGGGGTTGGGGGGGTTGGGGAATTTCTGCCGCGGGGGAGCGAATCCGGGTCGGCCCGCTGGGGGGTGGGGCGGGGCGCGGGGCGCGCGCCGGTTAGGCGTGTCCGCTCCTTTTTCCACAAGCGGCCGGCGCGCGCGCGGGCACGCGGCGGGCGGAGGGGACAGCGGAGGCAGCACGGGCCCCGGGGCTCGGGTGACGGCGCCCCGGGCGGTGTGCCCCCCCCTCCAGCCCCCGCCTGCGGAATGGGTAATGAGGCTTTTCTCCGCAGCAGCAGCATCACGAGTTTCAGTTCCCAGGAGTCCGCCGTCGCCACGACATGAGTCAGGCGTTCCTCCTCGGCGCGCGGCGGGGCCCTCCTCCCCTCCTCGCCGCACCTGGGCTCGCCCCCCGTCCCGCGCCGCCCTCGCCGACTACTAGGGTACCCCCGAGCCGCGGGGTCCGCGGAAGGCCGGTGGCTCCTCGCGAGCGGCGCCCCCTTTTGTGCGGCGCGGTGGCAGCTGCCATGCGGTCCCCTCGACCCCTTCGACGGGCAGGGGCGAGCGAGCCGGCAGATGTTGCTGCTGTTTGCAGTCAACGGCCGGAGGGAGCTCATCTCCAGAAAGGGAGCGCTTGCAATCCGTCGTTACCTGGAGGGAAGCAGCCCGGCCCAGTTTTAAAAAAAAACAAAACTGACCTCTACAGGTGGAGCTAATCGCCCACAGGGATAGCTTTCCCTGTAATTGTCAAGCGGTAGGCCGCATAGGTTTTGACTTGAAAGACAAAATGGCCTGGTCATGGTGGCAACGCGAGGACAATGATCAATGAAGACCACCTTTGGGGATTAGAAAAAGAAAGAAACCTGCATAGTTCTACAGAAGCAGGGTTAGGTTTGATTGGAGGCAAGTTAACTGGAAGTTGCTGCTCTTGCCATTCATTACACGTCAAAACATTCTAGCCCTAAGCATTTTTGACCACTAAACAAAAATGCACTTCTCACCTAGGAACCAAGAAAACAAAAATGCAGTATAGGAAACCTCAGAAATGTTTGTTTTTTTCAACTTAGTGTTGAGGGACTAAACGTTTATGGTCAGACCTCTGATTCATTAAATCTCACAGACCAGATCTACAGTCCTGTTTCAGGAGGTTGTTAAAAACATAAATGGCAGGGTTTGAAAGATGCATAAAAGTAGATTCAGCATGTTACCTTTTAGCTTTCTCTAAACCTTTCCCCTCTTTCTATCCCCTAAAAGGTTAGGAACCTCACTTCTATTCCAGTATAGAGAAGCACATGCTCAACATCCCTGTATAACCTGTATCAGTTTTGATATATTGTTTTTTCTATGCTCTCCTTCACCAAACTCAAAAAGTAGGACTAACATGTTTTTAACGTGGAATTCTGAGCTCAGTACAAAGTGCGTGCCTGCTCAGCGGCAGCAGACTCTGCGATCCCATGGACTGTAGCCTGTCAGGCTCCTCTGTCCATGGAATTTTCCAGGCAAGACTACTGGAGTGGGTTGCCATTTCCTTCTGCAGGGGATCTTCCCCACCCAGGGATCAAACCCCAAGTCTCTTGCATTGGCAGGCAGATTCTTTACCACTGTGCCACCCAGAGGACCTAGGTACAAAGTAGGTGGTCACAAATACTGAAAGGGAGATGGTAGTAAAAATCAAATTCATTTGAGAACATCAGACTTGTTTTATGATATTCATGAATTGATAGGTGAACAATTGGATTTTTTACATAACTGTGGCCATTTTTTTACGTAACTATGGCCATTGAAGGCGGGAGGAGAAGGGGATGACAGAGGATGAGATGGTTGGATGGCGTCACTGACTCAATGGACATGCGTTTGAGTAAACTCAGAGAGTTTGTAATGGACAGGGAGGCCTGGCGTGCTGCAGTTCATAAGGTCACAAAGAGTCGGACACGACTGAGCAACTGAACTGGCTCATTGACGGCCATTTACAAAAATAATTTGTTTTAAGGCTACAACAGCCTTTGCTGTAAGAGATACAATTAATATCCGCCATTCATTGCTGAAATGCAAATGTGACATGCTTTTTAAATAGTTTTTGAACAGAAAATAGGAAGTAAGTATCCTAAAAAATTGAAAGTGCAGTGGAATGTAGTGGGGCTAAGTGTGTCTCTGAGCTACTATGTGAAAGAAAATGCAGTCCCTCAAACGTTGGCTTTTAGGTCAAAGTTTTAAATTATCCCCAAACAACAACTTAACACGCCTGGGGCCACCTAAATACCCACCATGATTGTGCTGATAAGGTTTGAAGCAGAAGAAACACATATAATCAAGTCTTCCAAAGTTGGACAGAATGACTCATTGAGATAACCCTGTAAAAGTAGATATTTCTAATAACCAGTAATAATGAATATTGTTATTTTTGTGCTGTTTTGATGTTGGGGGTGGGTGGGTGGATTATTTCTTTTAAAAGAGACTTGTTTTCATTTTTCCAGGGTAACAGTAAGACCTGAGAAAATATGGTCTTTCGAAACATGTTTCACTTTTATCTGCTGTTTCACCTTCAAATTCCTGGTGAGGCAGCCTCAAGTCCCACTGAGATATGACAAGCAAGTCTGCAAATATGGAAAACCTGAGTTTGAGAAATGTCTCTCTCTTTCTTCAGTTGCCAGCATTTCTATGATACATTAATATGAGTCCCTAAAATCAAACAGAAGCCCTTGAACCAACCTGGTGGTGTTATTGTGTTCCCACGTTTCAATTTGAAAAGTCTGGATTTTTTTTACATTATTATCAAATGCCCCCTGCTGTGTGGAATGAAGTCATTAACTCCTTTGAATCCAGTACTTGGACTTATCCTTTGTCTTTTGAAAGCCTATGTTTCACCTATTTACATTCTGAAGGTATAGTTCTGAATTACTCTCTATTGTCCATATTAATCCCAGGTGCAGTGTTCACTTAAATCTCATTATGGTGACATTGCAAACCAGCATGTAAATTTCACTGTGTCAGGAGTTTTTAGTGGGCTCCTCAAGTGGTGCTAGTGGTCAAGAACCTGCCTGCCAATGCAGGTGACTGGATTCGATACCTGGGTTGGGAAGATCCCCTGGAGGAGGGCATGGCAACCCACTCCAGTATTCCTGCCTGGAGAATCCCAGAATTTTTTCTACCATAAATGGAAAATTTCCTGACCATTGTAACTTAATTTACCTGTTTGTGAGAACTGTGAAATAGATGGGCATTTAAAACCAAGTAAGGGACTTCCTTGCACTGAAATTGCAGAGCCCTCAAGCCTAGAGCCTGTGCTCCTCAAGATGAGAAGCCTGCACACCGCAAGAAAGAGTAGCCCCCTGTTACAACTAGAGAAAGCCCGCACAAAGCAACGAAGACCCAGTGCAGCAAAAAATATTAAAATAAATTAAGTTAAAAAATAAAACCAAGCAGGGATTTCCCTGGCAGTCCAGTGGTTGAGACTTCACCTTCCAATGCAGGGGGTGCAGGTTCAATTCCTGGTCAGGGAACTAAGAGCCCACCTGCAGGGAAACTATATGCTGCATGCACAGCCAAAAAAAAATTTTTAATAAAATAAAACCAAGTAATTCTCCAAAAGTAGTGCCCTTGAGGAACAACAGGAAGAGAATACTTGCACTCAGAATGGCTGTGAGTGCAAAGATAAATACGAAAGAGAAACAGGTACAGAAAATACACCATTGAGAAACAGGTGCAATAAATACACCATTGATCCACTTCAGCAATTATTCTGGCTAACTAGGGCTTCAGTCTTGCTGTAGTTATGTGTAACTTTTAAATATCATCTTTAAAAAGTCAAATTTTTTTAATAATGAGTTATAAACATGAAAAAAGTCATACATTTTTACATATGAAATTTATGCACAGGGATATTACAGCATATTTATTAAATCAGTTTGCTCTCTAGAAAATTGTTAATATGAGACCAGGAGTCATATGTGCTCTTTGACTTTTGTAAATTGCACAAAATATTTATTTTGAAACTTTTCATTCACATTTCACTGAGTATAGCTTAACTTATAACTGATTCAATTTTGTAGTACTTGTTAAACTTTTAATATAAATATGTTTCTGGTCAGCTAAACAATGTTGTATCCTCAAAGGAGACATGATTATTTAAAAAAAAAAGTATAGAAATTTGAATTTATGGTTCATCGGGCACACTGATATACATTAGCTTGTTAAATTCTACCCTTTGAGGGAGAAGGCTTTATCGTTCTCATTTTGGAAGTAAGTGATCACAGAGAGATTAAATAACTTGTCCAAGGTTTATGCCTAAATCTGGTTACTCAGGTCCCTCCTCATTGCAGATTCCATGCCTCTGTGCTGAGGATTTTCCTGCAAACACAGTATGACCTCTAGAGACTAGTATTTTTCAAAGCTCTTTTGGAAATTAATGAGTGTTCTTTTAATACTTCTGAATGCCAAGGAAGATAATTCAGCACACACACTAATTGCACACAGCATTTCTTCTACATGAAGGGGATGAAAGACTTCTTCCCTGTTTGAAGCAACATAAATGTTACAGACGCTTCCACAGTCGGTCTTCTCTGAGGAATGTGTTAATTTGGAGAATTTCCTCACAATT